TATGCATGAATAACGACCCAGTAAAGGCAAACATCAGCCAAGGCATCATGCGACGAGAACTCTTGGAAAGTCTTGAGAACATGGACATCAAACGATTCGTACGAAATGTGACCACAATGGATAACAGCAAGATACCAGAAGTTCTGTACACCTGGACCTGCAAGGTGTATTGTATTTGTCGCATGCCGGACGACGGCAGGAAAATGGTTAAATGCACGAAGTGCAAATCGTGGTACCACTGTGAATTCGTACTAGGTTATCTTTCCTCTGAAGACAGGAGATGCCCGCACTGTGAAGCCCCGAAGAAAAACGCCCCTGCTGGCAAAGCAACTACATACGACAATGGTCACGTTGCAAGCGACGAGTCCATCTCTAATACAGTCAAACAGGGTAACCCTTCAAACAGAAGGGACGCAGATAGTACAGCAAATCAACAGAACGGAAACTCGTTGAAGTCGAAGAAACGAAAATCAGAAAAAAGTGACCTGAATTTCAATGACAGGAGCTTTAACAATAAAGGGAGTCGCGAAAACCCGATAGATGTTTCAACAATCAAAGAACGACCATCACCTGCAGAAGACATAGCATGGATTGCTGAACTGCACCTCACTGTAAAAGAGCAGAACATCCTGTTGAGCAAAAGTTGGCTTAATGACTCCATAATTAAGGCGGCTATGGTTCTTATTAGAAAAGATTGTTGTTGGAGTGACGTCGGTGGAGTCGAGGACGTCGTGATTGGTAGGGATCGCGGTTTTTCGTGCTCAGACCGTGGACAGGGCTTTATCCAGATCATCAAAGTCGGGAATAATCATTGGCTGACGCTGTCGAACATTTTATGGGAAACACCTTACACTAGCGTTTAGGACAGTTTCCAGGCAATGAGCGTCAAAAGAATGGAAGGAGGGATGAGGTACCCTAGCATTGTGGATCAAGCAGCATGCCAAATTTCGAAGCATGAGAAGTCGTTAACCATGTTGGTCGAGAATGTCCAGCAGCAGTATAGAACCGAAGATTGCGGCCTGTTTGCCATAGCTTTTGCGGATATGCTTGCTTTTAATCAAGATCCAGTTCAGGCAGTAATCAACCAAAGTGTAATGTGCCGTGAGCTGTTGGAGAGTTTCAAGGAAATGAACAAGAAACGATTCGTGACCAATGTGGTTACTGTAAACGAGAAGAAAGCAAAAGCTCTGCATCGTTGGACCCGCGAACTGCATTGCATATGCCAAATGCCTGACGATGGCAGCAACATGGTAGCTTGTTCCAAATGCAAAAAGTGGTACCATGAAGAATACTTGCACAGTGATTGCCGTAGAAAGGACTGGTTGTGCCGAGAGTGTGACTATGCCAGAAGGCAAGATGCCGCCGAAAGAAGATGATTTGCAGCCGCAAGGCAAAAGGTAAATCTAGAAGTGAATCGCGAAAAAACAAAAAAGTATGCGAGAGTCAGAAAGGGTACACAAAGTCTACCCCATTTAAATTTAAAGAGGCTGTTTCGCATATTGGATGCATGAATAAAGATGACTGGCTTGAGGTAGAGGAAATTGAAAGATGTAATGATTTTCAGGGTGTGGCTTTGTCCAGTGGGACAGGAGATGATTCCGATCACTTCATAGTAATTCAGCAAGTGCAACAACCTTCCACCCAGCACATGGACCCCACTTTAAAAAGGCTGGCAGATCCCTTATCCGACACTTGAAAGATAATCCATCCTCCCTCCCAAAACCTTACCATGGGATAAAACTAGATGAAGCTTTAATCTTAACCAAATCTAAGGAAGCCTCTCCCGGGGTACAAAAGCAGCAGGATGTTGAGGAAGAGAGCAATGAGTACCAAAAAGATAAGAGGAAAAAGAACAGAGAAAACAAGCAAGTGAAAAATGAAAAGGTTGGCAAATCCCTCCTGCGACACTTGTAATTGAAAGAAGCACAAAGACCAGAAGACGAAAAAGAACAAAGACAACAACCAAGTACAAAAAAATGAGAAAGCAAAAACAGGGAAAAAAAAGGGCAAGAAGAAAAGGAAGATGAAGAAGAGGAGGAGTAGGGGAAGGAAAAAGAGAAAGGAAGAGCAGGGGAACGATTAAGCTGGTAGCGAGACTAATGTCATCAGTTGTCTCCTCAGTAAAGGGAAGGACCATCAACCTATAAATAGAACATGAATTGATGAAGTGCACTTTACTACAAACGACGGTTTTCACAATATCTCTGACTTCTCCGTGGCTTCCAGACATCCATATTTAAAAATATTCAAATTCTACTATCCAGATTAAGTGAACATATTACGTAATTAAACAACAATGAGAAACCAATTAATTTTTTCCACGAATACATGATTTCTTCCTAAAGAGAAAACGTCGCCATAGTTACATACTAAACAGCACTTGAAGTGATCAAATAAGTATATCGTTGGCTTTTTATATACCATATTTATTTCATTAAATGCAGTTATTAGAATTTTTACCTTTTCCAATGCGGCACTTATTCAAGGGCGGCGTTTATTTGGAAATCACTTTTTTAAATCACTGGCAACAGTTATTGTAAATTGTTTGTTAATATTATTTAATTTAAAGGTTCCCATGTGTCTCTCATTTTGCTGAGATAGAATCGTAAATGTCTCCATGGTGTAGAGTACCGAGTTCCACAGAGGTTTTCCTTATTATCATCAACTAAACGCTGCATTCTTCGGATTAGGTGAGGCGTTTATTCTAGGGGGGGCGTTTATTGTTAATTTTGCTTGCATATGCGGCCCTTGATCGAGGGCGGTGTTTAATCGAATAAATATGGTAATAAATAGAACATTGCATGGCCGCACTTACTTGAAAGGTTTTGAGTTCTCCCATTGTAATTTAACTATAGTGACCCCAATTCTGATTCGCATCTTCAAGGGGCCATATCATAACCTTTCTTCACAAAATTACTTTTCTTATTAAACAAACAGCCAAAGCTGTTCGCATTGCTATATAGTCACAATCTAAAAAGCACTTACTAGGCACAGGTAATTGATAAAATATGTATTTGCAAGGTTTTCCTACTCTTTCTGTGTATTTCAGTGCATCCACTTTCCAACAGGCGGGATATTTTCTTGTCCTTCTGTAAATTTGCCCCTATATGTAAGGCACCCCTATATGAAAGGATGATTGGTAACTTTTTGTATAAACACAGAAAGGCCTTTGCATTATTCATTTAAGATGTTATTTCAATTGTTTTATATTCTTTGTGTGTATTTCAGTGCATCCACTTTCAAACAGGCGCGATATTTCCTCGTACTTCTGTAAATTTGCCCCTATATGTAAGGCGCCCCTCTATGCAAGGATGTTTGGTAACCTTTTGTATCAACACAAGAAGGCCTTTAGATTACCTAGAAAATATATATTTTCAATGGTTATATACTCTTCGTATGTATTTCAGTGCATCCAATTTCCAACAGGCGGGATATTTTTTAGTCCTTCTGTTTACAACTAGCTCAGTTATGGAGCATTCTATCACTGAAAACAGCCGGGATCGGGAGAGCCATAGACATAAATCATGCAAATTGTATTTAACAACACACCGCAGTATTCAGTATATATAATCATCTAAATCAAAACTCTTGTAGTAGCAGATCAGAATCGTCCTTTTTAATGAGGAATTCCTTGAAGATTTCAAACAGATTTTGCGTTGCATTTGACGAATTATGATTATATGTTTACATTTTTAAAAATTTTTGTTACTACAAATTGAAGGCGCTACATCAAAAAAAGTTTGTTTCCCTGTGCCAGATGTCTTGTCATCAGTTTAAAATTACGATAGGCTATAAACGTTGAAAACAATATCATGCAAACAGTAACTCAATTCTTGCCATCTATAGACAATTCTCAGGCTAAACAAAAGAAAGGATTGAAGGCAAGTTTCAATTTTATATGTTTCTGTCATGTTTGTGTGATATAAATCTGAGTATGGATGATAAATTTATTTGATCACAAAGGTATACTTTTTGAAATGACAGGACCATCAGGAGAGATTGAAATTAAACATTGCGTATTAATTTTTATTTTAAAAAAAAGGGACAATTCAGGCCGTATACTGTTCCCTTATTGACCTCGTATTCTATTAAGATTAGCCAAGATTGTAGAAGGTATTTAGTCACAAATTTGTTAATAAAATTACTGCATTGCAGGTTGCAGTGATAATTAGTTGGGTTTTTTTATTCTTGCTGCTTGATTGCTTTGTGCTCTCATTGGTCATGGTGATATATCTCACCAGAATAATATACATATTTATTCTATTTTTAGTTTTTTTACAACAGAGGTGCTATGACTGTGGTGCAGATCAACACATGGCTCTAAAGACATGTCGGGAGTGCAATTCCACCTTTGAAAAATGTCGAAAGAAGGATTTGGTAAAACTAAAGGAGAAGAAAACCAACATTACACAACAGCGTCATCTCAAGGAAAACCGTGTATGTTAGTTTATAATTTCTCTGCCAAACATTTTTAAAGTGCATTGTACAGCTTAATTAAGTATTGCTATCCATAGTTAGTAGAGGGGACTGGTTATGAAAGTCGGCGAGCTTCAAAGAGGGAGACAAAAGAGCCGTCGCTGATGTTGAAAGTACTTGTCACGTCACTGCGACGGTGCACAAACCCAAACAAACTTTCAAAGATGGTGGATGGTGGAGACAATCTTTTTTTGTTTGGCGATGATTTTGAGGCGATTTTAGACATCCTTGATGAAGATGAGGTGCTACAGGAACAATTTTCAACTGCTGCCAGTGAAGTAAGTGCAAAATATGTAAAAATTTACACGTACTTAGTCTATTCGAAGGGATTTGCGGAGCCACACGCGACTGTACTGTCACGCGAGCAAACAACAGTAAACAAAGAATTTCCAGACGTTTTCAGATGATAATTCCCAAGCTATATTCTAGAAAATTTATAAAACTGTATTTAGTTTATTTGGCAGAAGTGCCTCAGATGCTAAAAATTGCCTGGGGTTTGCTTTGTTGAGAAGAGTTTACAGAGAATGCGATTGCAACCTGACAACAAACTCGACATGACACAAATACCTTCGAAAGACGGCAAGAATCTTAACATTTGATCATATTTAGTAGAGGCAGACTGTAATATGATAGAACTATTTTTTTTCGTAGGTCCAATCAAGCGAGATCGTGTGCAGCGACTGTAGGAAAAAGGATAAAACAAGAGGAGGATATCAAAGGCACCGAGCTGCAAAGCACAGTCCAAATCCGAACGAGCATCGTTTGACTTTGACTCCAAGCATTCTAGCTGAGATTGTACGCAATGCTTTAAAGAACATTTATCAAAGAGAAGTGTTTGCTGAAGAACTAAGGGAGGAGTTAAAGCAGTATGAGTATGCAGTGCTTGAAGAAGGAACACAAGAATTCTCTGTAATGAAGGCATTATTTGAAGGCTATTCAAAAAATGGGAATGCCGAGAAATTCTATGGCAACTATTATGCTCAAATACCATTGAAGTCTCCAATGTTTTTCAAAGGACTGTCTCGTAATGCTGCAACACTGCTCACAACCAAGGTCGCTGATTTTATTCTCTCCTACTGCAAGGGCATTAAGTCTTCTTCCCACAATAACCCACCTTCAGCCCAAACTGTGCTGTCAGAAAAACAACAAGCTGGTCTGCAGTATGTTGGTGGATATGTCTCGCATAACTTGCATAAAAAGTATACAAGAAATAACAAAACAGAGAACCAACAGGCAATGGCAATCTTGAAAGCTGGTAAACTAGAGCATGGGTGTCAGAGTCAAAAACTGGTGTCAAGTTTAAGCCGTGGTGGCTTGTGGAACATTACCAAGTATGCACAGAACATTTTCCTTAAAACAGAGCATCAATTTAGGCATTTCACTTCGGGAAACTGCCTGAAAAAAGTGGATATTGCTGGCATAACTCTCAAATCAGTAACTGACAGTGAGGTATTGTCAAGCTTTCAACATATGGTTTCAGATGCAGAGCTGATCCCAGAAGGTGAAGTGAGCAAAAATGTGCTGCATGCTATTGTAAGCTTGTATATAAGGGTGCGCTCATTTTCATGTGCTAAGGACATTATTCAGCACTTCAAAGTGAATGCAAAGCAAACAAAGGCTAAAGCTCTCCGAAAGGAAATCATGAGAACTCATGACCAAGAACAAGCAAGGCCTGAGTAATGTAAAACATTTTATTATTCAAGGTGAAACTAGTTATATGATACATGAAAATTTTGTAATAATATATTTATCATTCATCAAGAACATTTTCATCCGAAAGTAGTTCACATACAGTATAAAAAACAATTTTTCAATTTTAATTTTTATTTATAGCAGGTACCTTAAAGAGTATTAGGGTACCATGCATGATAGGTTTAGAGTTCTGGAATCTGAAAAAAATTCCTGTTATTTCATAAAATACTTGGTTATTACTGTTCGAATTAAAGTCATAAAAAACTTTTTTTGTCCTTCATGATAAATTTAATGGGATGATGGTATATACATTATCATCTATAAGAAACCTTTAACAAAAGTAAATGCATAAACTAACATACAGCAAGTCTTGAAGATTTCTTTCAGTTTTCAAATGATATTTTGAATGGCAAATTTCCATTCTCGTGACTTTTATAAAGTTTCTTTTACATGTAGTATCATGCAATATAGAATAATAATGAAAAAGTAACCAGGCGATATCCACAAATTTAATGTGGTTACAATTGCCTTTTGTTTATTTTCCTTGAATAATTTTTTTTCTTAACACAGTCAGAGTCTAACTTCCAATAACCAACCACCCAAAATTTCGAGATTTATTTGAACTGCAAAGGGATTTTTTCTGAGTAAGATCTTGAAAACTCTGGAAATAACTGGGAAAATAAAATCAAAAAACTTTCTTTCCCTGCCCACTAATATTTAATGTAACTTGACATTTTAGTGACAGCCGTAAATATGACTGGAGTTTTAATTTAGTTTGGGCTTTTTTCTGCAAGGTAATTTGGCATCAGTAACCTGTTCCCGTGCTCTTTCTTTCTCCTATCTACCTCTTGTGTTTCCACTTTGACATGAAATTGACCTTTGAATTCTTATGGCGTTACTATTGTAACCAAATGTATCAATATCTGGATTGTCACTTCGCCTTCGCAGTTAACGCTGCTTTCCAAAGTATTCCTCCAGTGGGTCTTGACAGGAACGCTCTGTCAGCACATACTCCATTCCTTCTTGAAGTAAGAACTTGGTAGCTTCAATGGCTGAGAAAAGTGTTAGTTTGAAGCCTTCATATGTCTGCCAGGAAAGAAACATGCGGGCTCGTGCATTTTGGGTGAAATTTCCTGGTCTGTTCTCAGTGCTTTCTTTCCACAGTCTGAGGTAGTCCAAGAAGTCCATCAAAAATTGAAATCTGTGTGAAAGGAAAAATGAAAGAACAGTGGAAATATTTTCATTGGAAAACAGGGAAATCAACTCACAAACTGTGAAGCACAAGGGGATAAAAGTACACAAACCAAAAGACCACACCCTGTTAAATTTCATGTTGCTAGTAAATAGTACTACAGTCTCAGACAAAAATAGTTGGGACACTTTAGCCAAACGCTGTTTTTTCCCTTCTCGTGCTCACCCCGTCCCTCTTAAAGTTGTTTATCGCGGTTCGGTCACCAAATCTTGCACACCAACATTGAGGGGACAAGGAGACCCCAAAGTATCCCAACCATTTTGACTGAGACTGTAGTTGGTGCTATTAGTGGTATCCAGTCACTGTTATTAGTAAATTGTACTCAAGTACAGAATTCTATGTTTCAAATCCCTTGAATGGTTTATCTTGCATTTGCAACTATTTAACTCAAGAAAAGAAATCAGTTGAAACTATAAACAATATTTGCCTTGTTGGTGATCACTAGATAATAAAAATGATTGTCATGCTTTTGTGGTTCACTAAAAACATTTTAAACAAATGATGCATTTTAAAACCGTTTGTCTGTGCTAAACAAACATTTCTAATTCTTAAAATTTATAAGACATGCCTTCTATCATTAACTGATGTGTAGGGAGAAAGGTATGGCTTGTGCTTTCTCACATGCTCTGTCCTGCTTCGAACATTCAGGCAATCGAAGAAGCTGTCTACCATTTCACAGAGTTTCGCTGTAGCTGCTGTCTCAGGGGGGCCAAATGCCTTAAGCATGGCTGCTACGGATGCACTCAGCACTTGTGCAGCAAGATTCAGCCGCATTACTGAATAGGCATTCAGGTTCACATGCTCATACGTCAATTTTGGAAGTAATTTGAGTCCACTATCCATGTCTTGGTAGAAGATCTCTGTGATATGTTGCCACAGAATATACTGTCCATCATTCCACATGCACCTTGTACATGATCCAGACCCCTAGCTCTTTAGGCAGTTCCTTGTGGTCTTGACAAGGTGTGGTTGCATCAGAAAAAAAGTATATGTAGCGATGCACTGTATACAAGTTAGCTGTGCGGAAGCAAACGTCACTTACAGCATCCCCATCCAGTGGCTTGTGGAGATGATAAAATATCCTGTTTGGGGAAGCCCCATCAGAAGTGGCCGCAATGACCCACAAGTTGCAAGTAGTCTCTAAAATACACACCGCCTCCCAGAATAGAGGCATCAGCTGAGCTGCAGTGATGCCTGTAGTAGCAAAGTGAGCTAACCCAAACTTGAGTTCAGTGCACACTCCACGTACTAGAAATGCGAGAGCATGTGTTGCAATCATGTCTACTTTCTCTATCACCGTAAAGTTCAAATCAGGGTCACCCAGATCTGTGAAGCCAATCAGCTCTCCAGTCGTCTTGTCTAGTACAAGGTTTGCCATCACTTTCGTTTCATCAAACAAAAGAATGACATAACGCTGCACATCAAAGTAACTTTTCGTCTCTTCCTTAAGAACATCTATTACTCCTCTCTGAAAACCCCTTTCTGGTTTTATGGCATTGCGGTAGTCTTTTAGTCGTCTTTGACTTGGAAGCACCAACACTCCGCTATTTCTGAGTTCCTCATAACAAGGAGATTTAGCTGCCAAAGGGAGACAAAAACGAATTATCATGGGATGAAAACGTACTCCTGTGCTGCTTTTTGAGAACAGCTTTTTTTGCTCCTGCCAAAATAGACTCATAAATGAAGTGATGTTTTGGGCTGAACCAAGAATTCTACTGAAGTCATCACTAAGTTCATGATCTATTTCAATATTGGACTTTTTCAATTCTGCCTGCATGTCAGTCAACTGCCGTTCAAGCTCGGCACACCTCAGTCTTTGCCCCTGTAAAGTTAACTTTATGCGCTCTGGGTGTGTTTTGGAAACAGGTGCTTTAACATGTGCAGGTTTTGCTGATCGACTTTTTTTTCCTTTCCTTGCATTTTCGACAGAGCTTACAAATTCATCACATTCATTGCAGATATCAACTTGCTGGTACAACAGCAGACACCCTTTGGCTCTCCAAAATCCCTTATGTGGGAACTGCTGCTCCTCTTCTTCTTCCCCAAGTGAATCATGAATTACTGGTATGACATGATGAAACATTTTGCCACTAAGTTCCAAAGTTGAAACTCCATCACACAATCTGTACCCCTCCAGTTCCTTAAGTTGGGCACAGTAACATTTTGCACTGCTCGACGATACTGGAGGTATATAGGATGATCCTCTGGTAAATATGAACCAAAGGTTCTCATCAATAAGCACGCCTAGATATTTAACATAACTTTTACGTTCCAAAGATGTGTAAGAGTTGGTATGATGGTTGAATATTTTTAAATTAACTTCGTATTTGACATTTTTTTGTCTTGGTCGAAAAATAACGTAAAGCTTACAGAGCTCATCGTTTACCGTAGATTCCAAGGATTTTAGGTTTTTATCTGAATATAAAAGATTCGTATCGTCTGCGAATAGGTAAAACTTCATTCGGTTACAACTGTTACAAATATCATTTATATAAACAAGAAAGAGCAGAGGCCCTAGGACTGATCCTTGGGGAACCCCAGATAATACTGTCGCTTTCTTAGATGTATTTGAGGGACCAAATTCAGTTATTTGCTTGCGACTAGTAAGGTAGGAAGTAAACCAGTCATTCACAATCCCGCGTATACCATAATGTTCAAGTTTCTTTAAAAGTATTGAGTGGTCGACTGTGTCAAAAGCTTTTTGTAAATCAATAAGTATACCGCAGGTGTACAGCTTTCTATTCATATTAGTTTGAATCTGATTGGTGATTTCCAAGATAGCATGTTCAGTGGACCGCTTTTCACGAAATCCATGCTGTGAATCATAGAGAATACTGAACTTTTCAAGAAATGATTTCAAGCGAATGTACATCATTTTTTCAAAGATTCGGTTGAAGACTGAAAGTAGTGATATGGGTCTGTAGTTGGATGGGTCAGATTCGTCATTGGCTTTGTGGATTGGGATTACTTTAGCAAGCTTTAATTTAGTGGGATATATTCCATGTTCAACCGACTTGTTGATTAGTACAGATAGGGGGTGGCTAAGAATATGTCTAGCTGATCGCAAGACGCGAGTGGGGAAAGAATACAATCCATGAGCCTTGTTTAATGGCGTGTTCATAATTTCGGACTCAATTTCAGTTTGTGTTACTGGATTGAAAAAGAAAGAATCAGCATTACGTGATTGTGGAAGTTAATCAATAAATTCCTTCTACGGGTTTGGCATTTTGGAAGCTAGGTTATGACCAATTGAGGAAAAATACTCATTCATAATGTCAGGAAGGTCAGAGGAATCGTATGAAATTTGATCAGATCCCAGGCGTTTAAGCGAGGTGATATGTTTGATAGCTTTACGTTTGCGACCTAAAAGATTGTTTATACCTTTCCAAGTCTTTTTAATGTTACTTAGGTTATCTTCGAAATAGTTGTGGAAAAAATTCCTTTTACTTATTCGTGTGAGCATCAGTATTTTGTTACGATAAATTTTGTAGGTTTTACTGTCACCAGAATAATAGAGTGAATTCTTGATCTTAATTGATCTTCTGATGCCTTTTGTTATCCAGGGTTTTTGTTGTTTTCTTAGGCTGCGTTTTGAAATTGGCTTTAATGGGGCGTGCTTATTGAGGAGCTTGTTCAGTTTATTGTGAAATGTAGAGAATGATTTGTTTATGTCTGTCTTATTACAAATTGTACCCATTAAGTCAATTTCAGATAGCTCACTTAGGAACTTTGTTTCTGAGTAGTTTGAGAAGTCACGAGTTAACCGCTTAGATTTCGATTGATCACAGAGATCTCGATTAGTAGAAAAGTTTAGTATACAAAATTGAGAAAAGTGGTCTGTTAGATCCGAGACTATGTTTCCACTACAGATACTATATTCTAGACTGTTAATAAAGATGTTATCAATTAATGAGTAAGAGTTGTTGTGAACTCTTGTTGGTTTGTCGATTGTCGGAGTCAGGTTCAGGCTTTGCAAAGATAGCATAAAATTTTGGGCGTGAGTACTAGTATGAACATGGAGAAGATTTATATTAAAGTCACCCATAAGAATAATCTGTTTTCCAGTGGTGCTAAGCTTTTCCATTGTCGAGTCAAAATATTCCTGAAAACGCTCAGGGGAATTATGCTGCCTATACAATACTCCACATATTATGTTTGCACTTTTGGGAAGATGTAATTCGATAAAAAGTGCCTGGAAGGCTTCATTAGAACACCTCTCTATTGTTTGATATTGAAATCGCTCATCAATATACATGCCTACACCTCCAGCTGAAAGAGGCGTTGGCAGGTATTCAAAATTATAATGCAAAATCGAAGGATTAAAATCTAAGTTCTCAGTCGAGCTGTTTATTCTTGTTTCTGTTACGCCTATGATATTAAAATGAAAATCTAGTTCATCTAATAAATGAGTTTGAAAATTTTCTAAATTACGTTTTAGGCTGCGGATATTTGTGTGCATAAACGAAATATTAGAATCTGGATAGGGATTAGTAGCAAACTTACTTTTTTGATCACAAAAACTATGTGGAGAGAAGTATTTACATCTTGTATTAGAGTAATAAGTGTTGGAGTCGGAGCTTCTATCTAAAAATGTATTCAGAGTAAATAAATCAAGGTCGTAATAACTTGGGAGACGATCAAGATATTTTTTGGTAGGAAGAGAGGAACTAAGAGAATTATTAAATTGGCCATGTGCGGAAATTAGATCGCTGTAATTGAAATATGGAAGCTCGCTTAGGAGTGTTTTATTTACCTTAGTAGATTGTTTGTTAATGTTCTTATGGAGTAGTAACATCACCAGAAGATCCTAGGCGAGCTGTGAGACTGGACAAGTCGGTTGAATTTTTAATGGCGATCGGACGAGAGGTTTCATTTTTCCGCAGCCAGATGGTTGAGTTCTTGGCCCAACAAAATGAGAAGAGAAATCTTTCCTTTATTTTCTTGGCGTCAGATAATAAACTCTGCAGTCGTGGGGAGAGGTGATCGTAGATAGCAGCATGTTCTAAAGATGAGCTTTCTCGGAGACCAATATCAGCAGGAACGATCCTGTTTACTTCTCTACGGGCTGCCATAACACTTT